TCTCTCTCTCTCTCTCTCTCTCTCTCTCTCTCTCTCTCTCTCTCTCTTTCTCTCTCTGTCTCTTATTGTTTTAAATCTTACTTTACTTTTTGAAGACAAGTCTTCTCTGTGCAACAGCCCTGACTGTCTTAAACTCACTCTGTAAACCAGGATATGGCCTTGAAATCACAAGAGATCCACCTGCCTCCCTCTGAGTGTTGGATTAAAGGCATGAACAACCATGCCTGCTTTATCATCCTGCTTTCTTATACAACCTAGGGTTACCTGCCTGACCACAGTCATGCCTACATTGAACTGGGTCCCTCTGCATCAATCACCAATGAAGAAAACACTCCACAAGCTTGCCTACAGACCTATCTTACGGAGGTATTGTCTCTGTTCAGATGAGTCTAGCTTGTGTCAAGTAGACAAAAAAAAACAGACAAACAACCCCCAAACTGACCAGCACAGATATCAAACACATTCAAACCATAGAAGTAGGTGAAAAGGAGTTAGAACTCCACTTGGAAACGACCAGTCATTCAGGAATTGTGTATGTTGGAGCTGATGAGTTGGCTCATCCAGGGTTCTCCTGAACAAACCTGAGTTTGATTCCCAGAACCTACCACGTAAAGGATAGAAGGAAAGAACTAACTCCAGACATGTACCCCATACATACATCATTCATGAGCATGGATGCATGCACACACACACAATAAATAATAATAATAATAATAATAATAATAATTAATAATAATAATAATGAATGCCTTTTAGAGGATTCTTGAGTTTTGTTCATTTGTGGCAAAGTTTCCTGTATGATTCAGGCTGGCTTCTCACCTGTGATCCTCCTGCCTCAGCCCCTGAGTATTGGGATGACTAACGTGAACCATCATGTCCTGTCCAGGGTTGTTTCTAGTAATGACCATTTTCTGGTATATGTAATTCATATACACCGTGGAAAAGTCAATCAAAATAGGAATAACTGACGTAAGACAAGCCCCCTGCAGCTGAACCTCAGCATTCCCTGGACCCATTTCTAGTGGCAGTCAGCAGTACTGGAGGAACCTTGTCATTGAGGGGCTAAAGGAAGGGCCTCACAGTTTGGAGTTCTGGTTTAAAGAAGCCCAAATGGAGGGTAAGATTAGAAGCCTGGGAGTGGGCTCAGAACTTCCTTCTGCTGTTGAGGTTGGGATGAGAGTGTAGGCCAAAGCTTTCAGGGAGGCTACAGCACAGGAAGAATGGACAGGAGAGATTTTAGGAAAGCTCCTCCAAGCAAGCCTCTGGCTTGGGTAAGATTCTGCCAAAGGGAAAGGAAACTGAGTTCGAAGTTTCATACTCAAAGAGTTCCCTGGGGAGGCTGGAGATGTTGGAGGAGGAGATACTCAGTGCACAGGATACCCCAAGGCAAGAGCTGGGCGTGACTCTCCAGTTCAGAGTCAGACTTTGCCAACAGGAGGCTGCCCTACAGGCAGTGACTCACCTCTCTGGAGACTCATAACTGGAGTGCTGATTTACCTCTAATGCTGTTTGTGACATGACTCTACCCTGGCTATAGGGCAGTGCCAATCGGTAGAAAACATAACATGACAGCTAGGTGTGTCAGTGAGATGACTACAATCTTGGGAGGTAAAGTAAAAAGAGCGTCAGTTCAAGGCTAGTTTGGGCTACATAGTGGGAAGTCTGCCGAAAAACAAACAAAAGGAATGTCATATGTGCCACGGATGCAGGGCACTTGAGTAATTTAAAACATTCAGCTAGCCATATTATATGCTTTTAAATACGTTGTTTATTGTTTTTATTTCATGTGTATGAGTTCCTGCCTTCATGTATGAAAGTATATCAGAGGTGTGCCTGGTTCCCCTGCAGGACAGAGAGGACATTGGATCCCTGGAATTGTTGCAGATGTGAGCTAACATGTGGGTGTTTGGTCCTCTGTAAAAGCTATCTCTCTAGGCCCCAGCCATATTTATTTATTTTGTGTAGTTGATGCACACACGCCATGGCTTTTGTATGGAAGTTAGAGGACAACTTTTTATGAGTGGGTTCTTTCTTTCCACCATGTGGGTTCCTGGAGACAGAATTCAAGTTGGCAGGCTTGGTAGCAGCCATCTATACCTACTGAGCCATTTTGTGACCTCGCTATTAGCTATACTTTTAGAAGTAAGAAGAAATGGGAATTTAACTAAGATAGTATATTTCATTTAGTCCAGTTTATCCAAAGCTATAACAACATATCAACATATCAAAATATTTTTATATCAATACAAAAATATTAACGAGGTAGTTTGCATTTCTTTTTATGTTAAACATTGGGGCATCTCTCAGTTTGTAGCAGCTGCATTTCAGGGCCTCAGTAGCTACAAGTGGCTGGTGGATGATACTACAGAACCCAGGCGTGGAGCCCTCCTAGCTGTATCCCAGTTTTGGAACAAAATGAGGGGCCAGTGAATGACATGTGAGGTTGGATAATTATGCCCCGAGTGTCCTGGGACTGCTGTGAAAATTAAAAACTGCATGTTAAATAACCAGCTCAATAACTGTCACTTAGTAGGTGCCTGATGTGTTGTGGTTGCTGTTTAGTTGCCTCAAAAGCAACTGAAGGACAATTACTTCACCCTAACGGTCTGTTTGTTCCCTTTGAAGACACTCAGGTTATGAAATGCAAGTCTGGATTTCAAAGCTGACAGGTGTTACAGGGTCAAATTCTGGAGCAACAAAAACAACAAAAAAGCCCACACAAACCTCTAATCCGCAACCTTGTCGTGGCGTGCCCGCCCCCCTCCGCTGTCTACCCTTTCCCCTTCTCCCTCCCCGCTCCGTTCTCCCCCCACCTTCAACCCCCTGCTTGACAGCTCGAGGCCCCGCCCTACCCCACCCTGCCGGGCGCTTATCCAAACTACAACTCCCAAGATGCGCTGGGAGCCCCACCCCACAGTTTACGTCATCTGCATAGGACACGGGACGGTTACTAGATACACGGAGGCTCGTTTTGGAGCGCGGAGTCCCTAGACTCTGTCGTACAGGAGTGGTAGGGTTGAAGTGACAGCGTTCAAAGGCCATCGGCTCATCCGGGCTGCAGCGGGGCGAGCGACGAGCACAGTTCCCTCCCCTCCCGCTTTTCTCGGTGTGGCGCCGGCTAGTGACGTGTTGGGTGTGATGGCCGCCGCGAGGCCGGGAAGGTGAAGGTGAGAGGGCGAGCGCGCCGGGGTGGTGGAACCGGCAGGCCCCGGCCGGGAGAGTCCTGAGCCACCCAGCTTAGGACGCTGGGACGCTGGGGCCCCTGGACCTCGGGCTCGGGCTCGGGTAACACGGGCGTTTCCCCTGCTCCGGCCTCACTGCTTAGCCCTCCCCGGCTCTGAGGAGGGGGCGGGCCGCAGGACTCAGGGCTGGGAGGTGGGCTCCTCCTCGAAGTTCCCCATACCCTGGTCTTCTCAGCCCTGTGGTCTCATTCATGACCTCTGCCCCATTCCCTGTTTTCATCCAGTACTTTTTTTTTTTTTTGCTAGCATTTTTCTATTATCTGTCCCTGATCCTAACACTTAACACATTGAAAGGCCACAGTAAATACTGAAAAAGATAGCTTTTTTGGATCCAGAAAGGCAGAGCTGCTGGCCTCCATCTCTTGTAATACTTTTTGACCTGTTTTTTTTTTTTCTTTTTCCTTTCCCAATCATCTCTCCCCCTGTCAGAAAAGGACTCTTGATTGTCCCCCTCTTGTCTTATGTAGGAAAACACCAGAGAGCTTTGGAGTCACAGCTAGTGTATTTTGATGTCTAGCCTGACTCCTTGACTCTCTACATCTTCCTAAATACTCTAGGGCTAAGTCTATGCCATAGACTTTAGAATGAAAGGAGATACTTTACAGCAGCAGGGATACTCTGGTTTTTGTCAGGTCTACTTCTTTTCCTGTCCACACCCCTTCCACTTCTAGATGGCAGTTTCCCAGTCCTGAAGGCCAGGCCTTGTCCTGATTGAGCTCCCTCCTCTCTCTGGCTGGGCCTTTTCAAGGACCTCATTGGTGCCTTGCATTAGCACATGGCTAATGGTGTTTGTGTCATTGTCATTGTTATTGTCTTTCCCCTCCCCCTCCACACTTCCTCACCTGCTCCCATAGCACCTCAGTGAGTAAGCTTCCCTCAGGGATGAGTTAGTTTGGCTTTAACACCTGATTAGACATATTTTGCATTTTCTTTCCTGGTTGCCCAGTGACCTCTGCCTTTTTCTTTGCAAAAGTTTGGACAGGTGGAGTCAACAGCATCAGTAGCCAACCTGGACCTGAATCAGCACAGAGGAGACCTCAGATTCTTTTCATCTTTTTTGACTCCATCCATGTCCACGATGCCCAACCTGTGAAGGTCTCTTACAAGCTAGAAAGTAAGTGGAAGCTGTGGTTTGGCCACCATGGATCTGGATTAAGAGCAAAAGGGTGTGTTCTGCTGTCTCTCGGGTGCCAAGTCTCTTGGAGAGGATCCTGGAGCGTAGAGCTTGTGGTTTCCAACTTCTGTTGGAAGAAGCTACTGTAGCTCCTTTCTACTTCCATGGGGATCTCACTAGTTGACAGTTCAAAACATGGCCAGGATCTGTCTCTTGGGCATCTCTGAAGAATTAATCTCTTCTCCTTGTTTGTCCCTGTGTCAGCTCCTTTCCATCTCTGCTTGGCAGAGGTTGGATCCTTATCATGGCTCTAAGAGTCTGCTGTGCCCTTTACCCTTTTTACTCTTTCGTTTCAACCTCTCAGCTCTCCCCTGTTCCAGCTGTGCAGCAGACGATCTCTGGACCCGGTTTGTTTTCTCTGCTAGGAGTTGCTGCACATAAACTGGGTAAGGAGGTGATGTGGCTTCAGGGAGCCACACCTTGCAATGAGCTTTGCTACTGCTGTGCAAGCACCTAACACTCCTCCACTAATAGCCTGGGTCAGTGCAAAGCTGGCCTTCAAGTGCTGTACTGGGTTCTGTTCAGAATCGCGTTTGTTTCTGATCTTAAGTTAATAATGCTATTACTGTGCTCCTGTGACTTCTGGGGGCAGGAAAAGACTGCCAGGCGAGTGAGCCTTTCCCTAAAGTGTGGTCCTTAGAATTTTATTTGTTTACTTTTTGTTTTTTTCCAGACAGGGTTTCTCTGTATCCCTGGCTGTCTTGGGCCACACTTTGTAGAACTCAGAGACTGGATTGCTTCTGCCTCTCAAGCACTGGAATTAAAGGCATGCACTACCACTGCTGGGCTGATCCTTAGAATTTTAAAGCCTGTTAGAAGTTTCTTCTCGCTCCCCATTCCCTTTCTTTTTTTTTTTTTTTGGTTTTTCGAGACAGGGTTTCTCTGTGTAGCCCTGGCTGTCCTGGAACTCCCTCTGTAGACCAGGCTGGCCTCGAACTCAGAAATCCGCCTGCCTCTGCCTCCCAAGTGCTGGGATTAAAGGCATGCGCCACCACTGCCCGGCCCCATTCCCTTTCTTTTGAGACAGGCAGGGTCACATGGAATCCCAGCTGGCCTTGAACTCCCTGAGTAACTGAGGATGACCTTAAGCTCTTTTTTCTTGTTATTTTTTTTCCAGATTTATTTTGTGTGCATGTGTGTCACCGTGTACATGTGGAGGTCAGACAACTCGTGGGGATTTGTTCTCTCTATCATGTGGTTTCAGAGGATTGGATTTAGGTTGTTGGGTATGGCAGCAAGAACCCAGCCTTGTTATTCTCCTGCCTCCATCTGCCAAGTGCTAGGAATACAGTTGTGCCCCGTCAGGCTCAGCTAAGGAGTGTCTTCGTTGAATAAATAGTCACACTGTGTTTAAGTCTGCCTTTCTACCCAGGTGTTTGCCACATTCACTTGCACAGAAGTGATTTAGCTGTATAGTGTTTTACATACTGATGTCCACAGGAACTTTTTTTGCATGGACCATTGGCTACAACTAGAGTTCTGGGGATTACTCTTTGGGAAATGCTGCTGTTAAATGCTTCAAAACTGGGAGCACCTTGAGGATGTCAAAAAAAAAAAAAAAGAAAAGAAAGAAAGGCAGAAACAACAACAACAAAAAATCAAGAACCCTCAGAATGTGCCATTTAGTGTAACTGAATGATATTGGAGCTGGCCCCTCTGGTCCAACTGTATCGAAGGGACACGTACCGTGTGCCAGCAACAAGGCATGTGTGGTAAAGTAAAGCCTATCTGTCGGGTCTTTCCAGAAGAGGAGCAGGAAGTCAGCCTCCTCACACCATCCTGGGGGGTGGAGAACTGGCAGGCAAAGCTCCAGATAGTAAGGGCTTTTGGGAGGCTTTTATGAATGTATTTTGCAAATTTGGTGCTTTTGTGCACATGGATATGTGCAATTTGCTGTTTGGAAGGATTAAATTTCAGAATCTGAAACATTCATTCATCTCTGTTGACTGGCTGAGCTCCAAATACTTAGCTGGAAATTGCTTTTCAGGAAAAAGTGGATTTGGGTATTTAAGGATGGAAGGTTTCAGATTGTTTCCCTAGGTGTGGGGGGTTTTACTGAGCAGCCTGTACCATCACAGCTGTGGCTGGAGAAGGTGGAAATGAGGGTGCTGTTTTCTCAAAAACTGCCCTTCCAGAAGCTCAGCACCTAGAGAGACACGGTGTGATTTTACAAAACAATTCAAACTAAAATCTTGTAAGGTTGTATGACTGTCCTCTGTGGGTAGGTGACTTCTGAGTTATGTCTAGGAGGAAAGTAAGATTATGCAAAGTGGATAGAAAAGGAGTGGGCTTCTAGGCAGAAAGCAGGGTTAGTGCAGACACTCGGCCTGGGAATTAACCGAGCCAGAGAAACTGGCTCAGAGCTGTTGAGGTAGGTGTCTGTAGGGCTAGGAGCTGCCGGTGTGAGATCACCCAGCAGGCCAGTAAGCTCCGGCCACTTGGCTTTTCCTAGTGTGCACGCCCTTGAGTCTTGCATTTACTGAGCACTAACACCTCTTGGTTTGTATCCTTGGGCTTGCAGACGATGGCCAGCACCTTGGAAGCACCCTTTTTTATATGCCCAGATGCTGTCAATGAACTCTTTCCTTCAACCAAGTCACTTGTGGGCTGGGCACTCCTGACCTTCTCCAGCTGACCTGTTTACTCTGTTTCCATGGTAGCAGGTGTGTGGTGTGCAGGATGTTAGTAGGTTTACTGACCAACATTGCTTCCCAGCATCCTCGGCTTGGTTGCTGGGTGGTCCTGAGGAGGGTTTTGTGACCTGGCTGTCGTTTATCACTGTGTGGGGCTATGAGCTGCTACTGCCGCTGAGCCCTGACTGCTGAGCCTGCTGCTTGTGCCATCAGTTCTAGTCATCGTACAACTTACACCACATCATATTTGTTGAATATAAACAAACCAGGATTCCAAAGAAAAATGAGTGGTGTGGATTTCTGCAGGAAGAACACGGGGACTCTCACTTTGTGCTGTTGAGTTCAGTCTTTGCCCTGTGCAACCTCACTGCATCCTACACGCTGTCCTTCCTTCGCTGTTCTCTTCTGCCTGCCCCACCCTCTGACCTCAGGGCACTCTTCCTTTGCTGTGTGTGTGGAGCTAGTTTATTTTCAGTGCCCATTCTCAGAGCTTGTTTAGAAAATTCGATTCAGAAGTAGTGTGGTGGCCAAGCTGATTGTAGCACTTGGGAGATAGAGCAGGAAGATCAGAAGTTCAAGGCCTCCATTAAACCCTGTTTTATTACTAGCCTCCCACCCCTACCACCCATTCTCTCTGCCTCCCTCTCTCCTTCTATCTCTATCTCTCTGAAGAAAGAGGGGAAGGTGGAAACTACATTGTGCTCATCTCCTTCCCCTGGCTCCTGCAGAGTCTGTAACATCACAAGAGAACTGGTTTGTTGATTTGAGCAACACAGGTTCATCTCCTTGTCTGGACCTGCCTTTCTGCCTACCTTGAAGATAGCCTTTCTCAAAGGCCCAGTTTTAGCACTCAGCCTTGTGCTTTTTCTCAGGAAAGCTTTCACTCGGGAGGGACCTTGTGCTGCAGCTTTCAGTGCCATTGTTGGGTTATCTTGTGTGCTTACTCATGAATACTGGGGAGAGGCTTGATGGTGCCATGGTTAGGGTGACATAGAGTGACAGGACGGGACCCACACAGCTGTGCTGTTCCCCTCATCCTGGGAGGGCTTTTTTCTTTCCATGTCCCAGGCTCTGCAGGCTCTGTTGGGGGAGTAGTCTCTCTATGGTTGGAAGTCTGAGTAGGCTCCACTTGGGGGCTAGCCACACCTGGGAGACACTGTGGCATATGTTTTGACTTTTGACCAAAGATTGAGAAAAGGATACAAGATAGACTAGCAGGAAGTGAATGTCCGATGTCATCACAAAAGAATATATCCTTTCCTTTCCAAGTACATTCTGCCATAACTATCACAGGAGAAGCCGATAGTCGTTAGTGGTCCTTTATCTGTTTATCTGAGACCGAGTCTCACGTAGCTTACACTGGCCTTAAACTCACTGTGTAGTCTCAGCCAGACTTGATCTACTGTCTTCAGTTCCAGTGCTGGAATCTCAGGCATGCGTTTCCATGCTTGCCTCAATACATGTCTTTCTCTTTTCCGTGTCTCCACTCCTTAAGCAAACACACTCAGTAAGGCCGTTAGGACTGAGGACCACAGTGTTCCTGGACTGCGTTGGCCACAGAAGGGTGTGGGCAACTCTGACCTTGGATATGCTTTGCTGTCACTGTCTGATGCCCTCCTCAGTTGATGGGGTCAGGAGATAGGCCTACCTATCTTTTCTACCACTTCTCCACCTGAGAAGCTGTGTGTGTGATTTTGAGATCCAAGATTTCTCCCTTCCCTCTGAGGTACTGGACAGCGTTGAACAGGCAGGGCAGGGATTGCCAGTACTAAGTCTGATCTCTGTGCTCTACAACCAGATGCTTGTGAATCCACACAGTGTGATGTGGAGATGTGCCCCAGTGTGCTGAGAACTCCCTTGCTGTTAAGATATTGGGACCTTGCCTCTCTTGAGTGAATTGGAAGCACCCTGTATTCTTGGTGGTCCCAGCTCTTGTCCCCGTCTGTGCCCAGCAGCGTGGTCGAACAAGTGGTGTGCCTGTGCTCATGCAGTCTTGGTTCCCTTGCAGCGAGATGTCCCTGCTCTTTTCTCGATGCAACTCCATTGTCACTGTCAAGAAGGATAAACGACACATGGCTGAGGTGAATGCTTCTCCTCTCAAGCACTTTGTCACTGCCAAGAAAAAGATCAATGGCATCTTTGAGCAGCTGGGGGCCTACATCCAAGAGAGTGCCAGCTTCCTTGAAGGTGAGCCGGGCCCCTGCCCAGGCAGGCCCTGTGAGAAATTTGAGTAGAAGGATTTGGGGGTCCCTGCTCTAGGGAAACGCGAGCCCAAATGTGTCATTGCCGTCAACTGTGCTCTGCCTGGATCCCCGTGGATTCTGAGTACCAGGAAGCTTACGCTCAAATGGTGTGAACTATTAAGTAACGAATTCCCTATGTTTTATTTGAAGATTTTTTTTCTGTTTGTTTGTTTTTTTGTTTTTTGAGACAGGGTTTCTCTGTGTAGCCTTGACTATTCTGGAACTTGTAGACCAGGCTGGCCTTGAATTCAGAAGAGACCCACCTACCTCTGCCAAGTGCTGGGCCTTGGCATGCACCACCACACAGTCTGGGACAAGTTTCTCTGTAACCCTGGCTGAACTCACTCTCTAGACAAGGCTGGTCTCAGAATCTGCCTGCCCCTGCCTCCTAAGTGCTGGAACTAAAGGTGTGTGCCACCAAGGGTAAGTGAATCTAATCCCTGTCAAAATTTTCAGCAGGCAGGCAGGGATGTGTGGTGTGGTGATTGTCTCAGTGGGTAAAGTGCTGACACAAAGCCTGTGTCCCATCCAGCACATGCACAGGTGTGATGGTGAATGCCTATAATCCCAGCACTTGGGAGATTGGAGTGGGAGGAGCAAGAGTTGAAGGTCTCGGCTGCTAGTGAATTTGAGGTCAGTTTGGGCTTTGTGAAACCTTGTCTCCAAAAACCAATCAAAAACAAAACCGTAAAGTCAGGTAGACTAAGGTTTGAGAGTAACTGACACCTGAGTGTCAGAGTGACCGAGCTAGCTTTGCCCTTGTGTCTCTAGTGCTACAACCCATGAGTTGTATTTGGACCAGTTCTGGCTGCCGTAGCACCAGGCACTGTTGGAGGTTGATTATTCTGGACAGGGTGCCCTGGTGGATATTTTTAGATTGGCATTAGAAGTGCCAGTAGCAAACTCACAGTGCTGCCTTTTCTTCAGCTACTAATTTGAGCACAGCCTCTGTCAGTGAGGACTTCTTCCTTAGAGCCTCTCTCTTTCTGAGAGCAGTTCCAGCTACTACCTGTCTCAGGCTCCCTCTAGAAGGCTGCCCTGGTGACATAGGTCTGGAGCTTGTCTGTAGAGACTCATGTGCTTTGCTCTGTCCTTGGTTTTCTTGTGTGTGGAAGAGGGGTTCATGTGAACCTAAGACTTTTCAGGCTTTTCTGGAGACCTTGACAGACCCAGCAGTGGTGCCACAGGGAGTGACCCCTAGCTCAGGTGGAGCATCTCTCCAGCCTGCTCCTTGTCTCCAGGAGAAGATAATGGCTCCTCTGTAGACACGTTTGAACCTGAATCTTACAGTCCGATTGAGGTTGAACTGATTGCAGATCACAGCCTGTTTACTGAGCAGTAGCTCTGCTCTACCTTCTTTGAGCTAGGACTAGGGTTGCACAGACTGACCAGGCTGCTGCCTTCCCAGAGCCCGGCCTTCCTGTGCCCTGAGTCAGTCACTCACGTGACATTGTGGACAGGCAGGTGGTTCAGGAAGGTATCCTGTTGTGTTCTTTGATGTGTCTCTTTGTGAAAATATGAGGCCCTTGTTTATGGACCACATGGAAGGGAAGAGGCTGAGTGTTTTGAGCTGTTTGGGGATTGTTCAGGCCCTGGGAAGGATGTTTCCTTCTCCCCAGGCTAATAATGAGAGCCAGTCAGCCTTTAGGCACTTGTTCAGTGGAGCCATGTGCCTGAGAGCCAGCTTCCTTCTATGGGGCATTGCAAAGGTCATGCCCATGTGCCCATATAAGGGAGGAATGTTGATGCATCTGGGCTGGGGTGATGGGGTGGGGCTGGGGGTGCATGTTAGCTGGGTCACTTCCTTTCATGGTACTAACTAGAGGGAAAACTCACTAGTTAGTCTATGACATGCCACTTGTCATACTCCAGATGCTTTGGGGGAGTGTTCTTGGGACTGGGACTTGCCAGTCTGGTAATTTGCAAGAGTTTGCTGCAGGTCCAAGCAGTCATCTGCTTGCCAGATAGCTGAAGCACTTGGCTGGTGAGGCAGGATCTTGCTCAGTCCCATCTTGTATAGTGATTTCTTTTTTACGAATCTGCCTGTCATGGGCACTGGGGAAAGGCAACAGAGTCATCTAAGCATCCATTCACTCAGCCAATGATGTTGCACCTGCTGGTCCAGCAATCACACAATGGATAAAGCAGACAGTGAGCTGGCTAGTTATGTCAGAGAGAAGTACTGCGTTCTGTGAGTGCTCATGTTGCAGTGTAGCCAGGAAAGGCTTCCTGGGCCTGTGCTGTCTGAGCTAGACCTGAGACAAGTGGAAATGAGCCACACAATTCCACAACAGTGTGTCTGCTCCTCAGAACAAAGGTGAATTGGGGTGGGTAGCAGCAGGTAGAGCCTAGAGGGACAGGAGGCTTATGAGTTTGGGGAGAAGGTGTGGGGAGATAAGAGTGGGGTCTGACAGGAGGCTATGTGTCATAGAGGGCCAGCCAGGACTGAGGCAGGTCAGGAAGGACCTCTCAATGTGACATGGAGTGGGAAGGCCTATACTCTAGAGCCATACTGCATGACTCAAATTGTGTATCGTGTACATAAGAAAGATCAAATGAGACCATGTTGGAGAACTTGACTAGAGGGCTGGCAGGATGGCTCAGTGGGTAAAGACACTTGTCCCCTCCATGCTTGACAACCCGGATTCAGTCTCTGGGACCCATATGATTGAAGAAGAGAAAACTGATTCCTTAAGTTGTCTTCTGAGCTCCACATGCACATGGTGACACATGCATGCCACATGCTAAATAAATGATTAAACACATCTAAAGTGACCATAGCAGTGCCTGGCATGTGGGCGCTTTGTAAACATTACCAAGAAATATTGTGACTGGTGAGCCAGGAGAGGCTCAGGAGTTAGGAACACTGGCTGCTTTGTATTTTAGTTTGGTTCCCAGCACCCAGATGGTGGTTCACAACCATCTGTAACTCTGGTTCCAGGGAATCTGATGCCTTTGCCTAACCTCAAAGGGCACCAGGCACAGATGTGGTGCACATATACATGTGAAGACAAAACACTGATAAACATACAAACAAATAAATAAAATCTAAAAGGAGAGAAAAAATAGGGCTGTGGAGACGGCTTGGCAAAGGCACTTACTGGGCAAACTTTGTAACCTGAATTAGATTCAGGAGCCCAGGTGAAGGCAGGAAGAGAATGCTGAGTCCAAAAGTTGTCCTCTGACCTCACATGTACTGTGGCACATAAACCCCTCCATCGTGCACACACACAGTGAATTTTGTTTGCTTTTTTTTTTTTTTTTTTTTTTTAATGAAAACGTCTTGTGGGCTGGAGAGATGGTTCAGTGGTTAAGAGCTCTGGCTGCTCCTCACCAGAGTTCATGAGTTCAATTCCCAGCTCATAACTATCTGTATTTGGATTTGATGCTCTCTTCCAGTGTGTCATAAATAAATCAAGTACTGTAGAGTCAGTGTTCAGGTACTCATGCAGCACTTTGCATTTGAACCTGTTTTTATTAAACACCTTGGGAAGTTGCTGTTTTTAGGAGAGAAGATGCAGCATGGGGGAATGCTGTCTGTCTTGCTTTCCAGTCTGTTCGTAGCCAGCACACAGTGGGACCACAGTGTGGAGTCTGGGTGTTCCACCTTATGGCAGAGCAGGGAATCAACAGAGGTGGTCTTGTGTTGGAGAGCAAGAGAGACTGTCACTCTGGCACTCCTCTGGCCACACACTAACACTGTCCTCCTCTCTAGACACCCACAGGAATACAGAACTGGACCCGGTTACCACGGAAGAGCAGGTCCTGGATGTCAAAGGGTACCTGTCCAAGGTCAGGGGGATCAGCGAGGTGCTGGCCAGGCGGCACATGAAGGTGGCTTTTTTTGGCCGGTGAGTACTTTGAGGCCCTCTCTGCTTCTCTTTTCCTGGTGTGGGGGTGGGGATAGATACAGGTGAGGAGGGAGGCCCTCTCTGCTGGGAGCAGTGGCATACCTGAGTTCATCTGCTTCTTTTGACTGATTTTTTTTTTTAAAAGAGAACACTGCTTTATTTATTTATTTATTTATTTATTTATTTATTTATTTATTGGAGACAGGGTTTCTTTGTAACTCTGATTGTCCTGGAACTCACCTTGTAGACCAGGCTGGTCTCAGACTCACAGAGATCTGCCTGTCTTTGCTTTCCAGAGTGCTGGGATCAAAGGTATGTGCCACTACCACCCAGCTAGAGCTTTTTTAAAAATTTTATTTATTTATTTTTTTAATTTTTTAAATTGCATTTTTATTTGTTGGAGATGTGTGAAGGTCAATACAGGTATGAGCGAGAGTTCTCTCCTGTCTTGTGAGTCTGGGGATCAAACTCAAGTTGTCTGGAGTAGCAGCAACTGTTTTTACCCACTGAACCATCTCACCAGCTCTTTTTATTTTTAATCGTGATAACGTAACATAAAAATCTTAATGGAAGTTGCTAGAGATGGAGCCCAAGGCCTCACACCTGCTGAGCTGTGTGTCTGTCGCTGAGCCAGTAGAAGCTGTGTCCCTGGTGAGATGTTGACATGCCATGCAGCTGCTCCCAGAGCCTTTCGTCTTGTGGAACTGGAATGGTTCCTGTAAATCGTGGCTTTCTGATCCCCATCCCCACTCTCACCTCAGCCCTTGGCAGCCTTTATTCTGGCCTCAAACTAGCTGCTGTGGTCATCTCGCCTCAGCCTCCTGAGTGCCTCCTGAGTGTTGGGATTTGAATATTATTATTTTTTAAGATTTATTTATTTATTTTATGCATGAGTACATCACCGTTGCTCTCTTGAGAAACACCAGAAGAGGGCACCAGACCCCATTACAGATGGTCGTGAGCCACCATGTGGTTGCTGGAAATTGAACTCAGGATCTCAGGAAGAGCAATCGGTGCTCTTAACTGCTGAGCCATCTCTCCAGTCCCTGGGATTTGATTATTCTTAATCCTAACCAGGAAGCTTAAAATTGATGAAGAATTTACTGCTCTAGATACCACATACAGTATTTTCTGAAGGTTGGTTGATTGAGATTCTTGTCTATGTAGCCTGGCTATGTAAACTAGGTTGGTATCAAACTCACAGAGATCCTCCTACCTCTGTCTCCTGAGAGTGAGGATTAAAGACAGTTACCACATCCAGCAGTATTTCTCATTCAGTTATGAACATGTCTCAGCACAGTGTCCTCACTGTTGATGGTCCATGTTGTAGCACGTGTCAGAACTCGCTATGTGTATGCATGTGTGTGGGGTGAGTATGCTAATAACATTAGTAAAATTACAGTTATGAAGTAGCAACAGAAATAATTTTATGGTTAGGGATTACCACAACATGAGGAACTGTATTGAACTGCAACATTAGGAAGGCTGAGAAGAATGTGCTGAGCCATCTCTCTCTCCAGCCTTTAAATAGGTTCTGTATGTTTGTAAATCTTAGCCATTCTGTGAGTTACCTTTTCACTTTGTCAGGGATATCCTTTGGTGTCCAATCCTTTATTCGATGTAGTCTTGGACTCTTTCCCAATCTGTGGGATATCATATCTAACTTTTGTCTTCAGATTTTCAATGCAATAGGAGAATCAGGCACTAAAAACAACACCCAAGGCTGAGTTGTGTTTCAGTTTGCTAAGCTATTGGTATGCGAGAAGCCCTGGGGCCCAGCATGATGCACACACCTACAATCCCAGCACTCTGGAGATGGCAGCAGGGGGATTGGGAGCTTAAGGTCATCCTCCATATAGAGTCTGAAGCCAGCCTGTGTCAAAAAGAAATTAAAATTCTACATAGGCTGAAGGTCTCTAGGTAAGGCAGAGGCTTGGCGGTGGTACTGTAGAGTGGGCACTGGGTCCCAAGTCCTGTTCTCGATGACTCGTGATCTCAAGTATGTCTTCAGCGTCTCTGGCCTGTTGTTTCTTCATCCTCTCCTGGAAGGAGTGGCCTGGCCCTCAGCTGGGTGCCAGTGCCTGCCTGTGTCACTGGGCACGTGGAAACCGGAGCCTCCGAAGCTGTGTGCTGCTGAGGCTTGCCATGCACAGTACGACTGGGTATTGAGCACTAAAGCTCGGGTTGGACAAGTCTGCAAGTAGAGCTGTTTGCAAGAAGCAGAACACAGAAAAGAGTGTGCTAGATAGACACTAAAGGAAGCTTGCCTTTTGCCTGGCTGGCACTGGTGGGTCTGAGAAGTGCGGCATCATGTGTGAGGAGGAGCATAATAGGAAAGTACCACAGAGCAGGCTCCGTGTGGGGAAGCAAGGACGTGGGGTCATTCGGACAGAAGACAACCCTGGGCAGGGACCGTGGTTTAGAGGGGAACACTATTTACTCTGGAAGTAGGTAGGCTCCATCAATGCTTAATGAGTGCTGCCGGCCTGTGAGACACATCTGAAGTGATGAGAACATAACAGGGTTAGGCTGAGGGGTGTTTTCCTGAGCATTTTAATAAACACAGCCCTCCTTTCAGTGCCGCCCGGGCACCATTGACATGGCAATGGTGAACAAGACCCTGGAGCTGGAGGCTGGGCACTATAGTGTGACAGCCCAGACTTTGTTGCTTATGGCCTCTGCTGTTTCATCCTAGGACGAGCAATGGGAAGAGCACCGTGATCAATGCCATGCTCTGGGACAAAGTCCTGCCGTCTGGGATTGGCCACACCACCAACTGCTTCCTTCGGGTTGGGGGCACAGATGGCCATGAGGCCTTCCTCCTCACAGAAGGTTCAGAAGAGAAGAAGAGTGTCAAGGTGGGTGCTGGCCGGCCCGCCCTCTACCTTGGGTGGCGGTGAGTGCAGTCGTGACTTGTATTAGCTAGCACATCAGTGTCACAAGACTCACCAACCTCCGTGCTTAGGAACTTTGTGGAGGATTTTGAAAATATCTGGGAGGGTCAGAGTGGGGCACCAAGAACAAGGGCAAAGTTTGAGGGTGAGAGGCAGAGTGAGCTGGCTGACCTGTGTGCTGAGCAGGGAGGGGAGCACACATGTTCTTGGGCTTGCCAGAGGCTTCCCAAGTGCTCTCTCTGGGAGTGGCACGCAGCAGCCAGTGGCTGGTGCACGCTCATTTCCTGAAAGGCAGCTGGGCTCTGCTTGGAGCCAGGTACGCTTTATGATTCATAGGGAATTAATTAATCTTTGCAGAGTAAACGGAGCTCCAGGGTGATGTTTGAGAAAGACGCTTACAGAGGAGTGCAGAAAGCTGTTCTTACTGACACCTTCAGTGAGAGAAGGGTGCGGGAGACATGGCTCCTCTTCCTGAGTTCAGTCTCCAGCACTGTCAGCTGTCTCACAGCCGCCTGTAACTCCAGCTACAGGGGATCATCACCCTTTTCTGGCCTCTGTGGACGGCTGTACATATACTTGCACATAGAAAAACATAAGGAAATCTTTAGAAAAATATTATTTTATCTATATTTAAGTGTCTGCCTTATTTGCATGTCTGTGTACTACATAGATGCCTGGTGTACACAGAGTCCATCCAGGAGGGCACTGGATCCCCTGGAACTGGAGTTACAGTTGTGAGCTGCCATGTAGGTGCTGGGAAATTAACCAAGTTTCTCTGGAAGAGCAGTTAGTACTCTTTTTTTTTTTTTTTTTTTGTTTTTCGAGACAGGGTTTCTCTGTATAGCCCGGGCTGTCCTGGAACTCACTCTGTAGACCAGGCTGGCCTCGAACTCAGAAATCCGCCTGCCTCTGCCTCCCGAGTGCTGGGATTAAAGGCGTGCGCCACCACCGCCCGGCCAGTTAGTACTCTTAACCACTGAACCATTTCTCCAGCCCTTGAATTTTATTTTATTTTTTTAAGGAAAAGAGGTAGCCTGTTGGTCAGTCATCCCAGGCTGATGACACTTCTTCCTTAGTCTGATATTTATTTCCTTCCTCCACCATCAGACCGTGAACCAGCTGGCCCATGCTCTCCATCAGGACGAGCAGCTGCATGCAGGCAGCCTGGTGAGTGTGATGTGGCCCAACTCCAAGTGTCCGCTTCTAAAGGATGACCTCGTGCTGATGGACAGGTAAGAGGGGAGACGTGTTCCTGGGAGCCTGGTCAGAGGGTACCAAGTCTCCATTTCTGAATGATTCAGGTTCCGGGTTCCTGTGTCCGCTCTTTGCTTTGTTTAAGTACTGGTGCCTTTCAGATAGCTCAACCAAATCATTGTGCCTCTTGGATTTCTTCCAGGGCCGGTTAGTTATCGTGCCCATTGGCATCAGTGCCTTGCAGATGTCCTAGGAGTGGGCTGTTTGAGAGAGATAGGGGCACTGAGAAAGAGGGGGTGGTGCCCTACATGCCAGCCAGTATGTTTGGGTTCTGCCAGTCCAGGCACCCACTTGTTTTATAAAACAAGGCCTTGGGAGACTTTGTGCAAGGAGATTTAGGCTTCTTGCTCCCTTACTTCCTTTCTTTCGGGAACACCAAAATACAATACTGTAATGACTGTAGCCTGACACAGTTTAGAACCTGTTTAATCATTCTGTTTGCCTTTGTCTGAAATGCCTTTGGCAGACTGAGCCTTAGCAGTCCTTGAGACATTAGCTCTGGAAACGCCGATGGCTCCAGAATTTTTTGTGTGTGTGTTAGGTAGCATATGTGGGCATCTTGTTTTTCTTGAAGGAGTACTTTGCCCCTGCCTTTTGACATGTTACACCTATACCAAAAGAATCCGGCACTGTGTACCAGGACTCAGATACAAACCTGAAAGTTGGGCATGGCAGTAGATGCCTGTAATTACATCTCTAGAGAGGTGAATGACCACAAGTTATTATGTTTTCATAAAAGTGATAGGTGCTACCGGCTGGTCTACACCTTTAATCCCAGCATTTGGGAGGCAGAGGCAGGTGGATGTCTGAGTTTCAAGTCACCCTGGTCTACAGAGTGAGTTCCAGGACAGCCAGGGCTGCATAGAAAAACTCTGTCTTGAAAAACCAAGGGAGCCAGGCGGTGGTGGCACACGCCTTTAATCCCAGCACTTGGGAGGCAGAGGCAGGTGGATTTCTGAGTTTGAGGCCAGCCTGGTCTACAGAGTGAGTTCCAGGACAGCCCGGGCTACACAGAGAAACCCTGACTCGAAAAAAAAAAAAAAAAAAAAGAAAGAAAAACCAAGGGAAAAAAGTGATAGGTGCTAAAAACTCGGCATCCTTCAGTGGCTGGAAGGACAGGGATGGGGGTAGAGGTCTCTGTCCCCTCCCATGCCTGGCCACTTTGCAAGTCCCAGGGCTGTTCGCACTGGGGCCTATGCCCTGGGCCTGACCACACTGATTTACACCTGTCACCACCAGCCCTGGGATCGATGTCACCACGGAACTGGACAGCTGGATTGATAAGTTTTGCCTGGATGCTGACGTGTTTGTGCTGGTGGCCAACTCCGAGTCCACGCTGATGCAGACGGTAACTCTTCCTTCGCTTTGTCCCTGGGCCTGTTGGACAGGTGGCTAGTGGGGCCTGAGCTGGCAGGCCCCCTCCGCCATCAAGGTCCTGCCCTTGTTTAGGAGAAGCAGTTCTTCCACAAAGTGAGCGAGCGTCTCTCCCGGCCCAACATCTTCATCCTGAACAACCGCTGGGATGCATCTGCCTCAGAGCCTGAGTACATGGAGGAGGTGGGTGTTTTGCTGGCAGTTTGGAGACCGGCATGGGCCATGGACACTGACCACTCAGATCTGCCTTATGTCCCAGCAGCCTCAGATCCAGTGTCTTTCCTCAGTTAAAGTCAGTGCCAAAGGTTGACCGCGTACTCACTGGTGACTTTAATCTTTTCCTTCCCCTTCCTTTCCCTTCCCTTCCTCTTCCTAGAGTATCCCTGCCAAGCTTTTTTTTTTTTGGCTTGGGCCAGTAACTGGTTTACAAAAGCTCAGTCTATACAGAAACAGGCTTTAGAAAGACATTTGGGAAAGAAGCTTGATGAGAATGAAGGATAAGAGGGTCTTTTTGTTTTGTTTTGTTTTTCAAGACAGGGTTTCTCTGTGTAGCTCTGGCTGTCCTGGAATTCACTCTGTAGACCAGGCTGGCCTCAAACTCAGAAATCCCCCTGCCTCTGCCTCCCAAGTGCTGGGATTCAAGGAGTGCGCCAGCACTGCCTGGCGATAGGAGGTTCTTAGTACAACTCCCAGCTTTAATTTTGTGTGAGGAAAAGGGATTTGTGAGTCCAGATGCGGCTGGAGCTCAGCAGTGGAGCTTTGGGTGTAAACCTTTCTTCATATCTGAGGAGGGTGGGACCCACTCACAGTGCCTCACATGCGGTGGGTGTTTATGGAGGCTCTTCGTGTTTTTGTTTTTTTTTCAAGACAGGGTTTTTCTGTATAGTCCTGGCTATACTAGAACTTAATCTGTAGTTCTGTAGACCAGGCTGACCCTGAATTTACAGAGATCCACTTGTCCCTGCCTCCTGAGTACTGAGATTAAAGGCCTGCACCACTGTATCTATGGAGTCTCTTAACCCTTTTAAATTCTACCATTCCAGCCTAGTACATGGAGCTGGGACTGCCCACTGGTGCCTACATGCTGTATAATCAAGATTCTGGGAGACCTGGCTTGTCAGTGTAGAGGCATTTAGGTTCTTTTCCCTCTGGGACACCAAAGAACAATACTAGGCCAAATGAAAACCTGAGGCAGTCTGGGGCCTGTTCTGTGCCTCAGGAACCCCCAGAGAAGAGCTGGGGAGGATGGTGACTCCCGAGCAGAGATGGTGGTGGGTGACCTTTCATTGTTGTGTTTATCCCTTGTGCTTGTTGAGCCTTGTGGATCGGCTTCCCCACCACTGCCCTGCTCATGCACACCCATCTGCCCGCAGGTACGGCGGCAACACATGGAACGCTGCACCAGCTTTCTGGTGGATGAGCTGGGCGTGGTGGATCGAGCTCAGGCTGGGGACCGGATCTTCTTCGTGTCTGCCAAGGAGGTGCTCAGTGCCAGGGTCCAGAAAGCCCAGGGCATGCCAGAAGGAGGTAACCATGCGAGCTGATGGCTTCCTTTTACTCAGTATTTGCAATGTTGAGTCTCTCACTGGGTCTGTCTGTTGGTGGAAACTGTTCTGGCAGTGAGGTGGAGAGCAGAGCCTGGAGGGAGGGTCTTGTTTCTTAAAATCACCTAGGAGACTCCCCCGGGCATGTCTTTGAGGGCATTACCAGAGAGGCTTGCTTGAGAAGGGATGACTTCCTGAATGTGAGCTGCAGCCTGTCATGGGCTGAGTCCCAGACTGAGTAGAAGGAGGAAGCCAGCCGAGCACGCTTTCCTTCCGTGTCTGTGCCCAGTGAGGTATGGGCAGGCAGCCTCACAGTCCTGCTGCTGTGCCTTTTCCACCATGACCTACCGTCTCCCCTTAGGCTGAGAGCCGGAATAAGTCTGCCTTCCTCCCTTACGTTGCTTTTTGGCAGGTGATTTGGTCACAGGGCTAGAAAAGTAACGCAGAGAGGGGGTCTCCCCAACTTACTCACCTTACAGTTTCCTCACCAGCACTGCCTTTCTCCTAGGGGGCGCTCTGGCAGAAGGTTTTCAAGTGAGGATGTTTGAGTTTCAGAACTTCGAGAGGAGATTTGAGGTAAGGCTTTGACTCTGTATGTGGTACTTCTGTCCTTCCCAAGCTCTCTCTAGCCTGGTGTGTGTGAAAGGACTGCCTAGCCCTTGGAGGTGACGGCCCCACCTCCCTTAGTCTGTCTGTCTGTCTGTTGTAGGAATGCATTTCCCAGTCTGCAGTAAAGACCAAGTTTGAGCAGCACACAGTCCGGGCCAAGCAGATTGCAGAGGCCGTTCGTCTCATCATGGATTCCCTACACATTGCAGCTCAGGAGCAGCGGTGAGAGCCCGCATGTGTGACCAGACCCCTAATGCTGAGCTGGGTCCATGGGCTCACGCCAAGGCCGCATTAGAGACACCTAGTCACACTGGTCAACCCACCCAGCCGCTACAGTAAGGCAGGCTCTTTTGTTAGTGGGCTTGGCCTTTGTGTTTGTGTTAATTTTCAGTAGTATGGGGTTCAGAACTGAGGCCTTTTATCAGCTAGAAAGGCACTTTACTACTGGGTTGCAGCCCTGGCCCAGGGTTTTATTTTGTTTTTTATTTCCAATAGATCCTTACTATGTAGTCCAGGTTAGTCTTGAACTCAGGACCCCACTCCAACATACCGTATTCCACCTGAACCTACCTATTTTTTTTGTATGTATGTATGTATGTATGTATGTATGTATGTATGTATGTATGTATGTGAGATGGGGTTTCTCACTAGGCATCTCTCACAGGCCCAGAACTCTATATGTAGACCAGGTAGCCTTGAACTCAGATCTGCCCACTTCTGCCTCATGAGTGCTGGGACTAAAGGGACGGTAAAACATGGTGGGGTGCGAGAGATACTCTCAGCTTGCAGAGTGCCTACCTAGTATGTAGGAACCCGAGCTCATCTCCAGCACACACATACTGGGCATGGTCGTGACATCCTGTAATGTCAGCGTTTTAGAGATGAAGTCAGGATGGAGGAGGAGCAGCGGTTCCGTGTCATTCTCGGCTATATAGTAAGTTTGAGGCCAGCATAGGATTGATGGGATCCTGCCAAACAGAAAGAAAAGAAAAAAAAGAACGAGAAATTTAAAGTACAGAAAAGCACAGGAAATCATAGACAAATAATTGGCTTCTATTGGAGAGACTCAACAGTGTTGTCTCTAAGTTAGAACAGAAAAGGAGTTAAGTAACCTTGATTCTGTGCTCCCACATAGTCCTTAGGGGTGATGGTAGGCTTGTGTGCTCCCACTTCCCAACATTAAAGGTACTTCCTGAGAAGAGCACAAAAAGACTGTAGGCTGCTGGGCATATGACACACGTGTTGAAGCATGGCACTACCTGTGCTGACAATGTACCTGCTGCTTTTGCCACCCAGCCTGGTTTCCTTCCCATTAGATCTTGTTGGGACACTAGACATGGGTGCTGGGAACTGACCATGAACTTTTACCCAGTGACTCAGCGAGTTACGGATACTCTGCAGAGCATCTGCTGCTCCTGCCTGGAGGACCTCCCATTTCTGTATCTCTCACCACAGTTGAGACGGGGCCGTGGGTATCTGCTAGTATCTCTTTTTAATTTCATTTCTCAATTCCTGGATAAGTGGAACATTCTTTTGTTGTTGTTACTCTGTTTAAAAAGTTTTCACAGTTATTTTTGATCTTATGTCTTTGGCATGGCATATGCGTGGTGGTCAGATCTCCTTCCACCTTTACCTGGGTTCTAGGGACTGAATCAGGCTTGCACAGCCAGTGTTTGATCTGCTGAGCCGTCTTGCTGAGTTGTCATGTGTTCTTTTCCCATATTAGTTACAGAGCTGTTTCTAACCCTCCCCCTCTCTTAGGTCTCTTAGGTGTAGGTCCCTCTCTTCTCTGTCACCATCCGTTCTCCTAATGGGATCCTGAGGGATGAGTGGCGGACAGAGTGGCCTGGGCGCTTCCAGCTTCCCTTGGTTCCTCTGCTTGGTCTCTGGGCCGTGGGTTTCTACACAGTGCTTCTGTTCTCTCAGGGTTTACTGTCTTGAGATGCGGGAAGAGCGGCAAGAGCGGCTGAGGTTCATTGACAAGCAGCTGGAGCTCCTGGCTCAAGACTATAAGCTGCGCATTAAGCAGATTACAGAGGAAGTGGAAAGGCAGGTGAGGATGAGGAGAAACCTCTGTGTGGACATTGGACCGAATGATGGCAAAAACACCAAGAGCAAGGCACCGAAGCCTTCCCCAGCTTTCTGTGGCCCCGATTCAAGAATATAGTTTCCCCTGGGCCTCCTACCAGGGCCATTTTGATTGCCCATTTTCTTCCACCTCTGTGGCTTCAAATCAAGAGGAGCTGGGGAGACTGGAGAGTATGGGACAGGTGTGCAGTTAACTGCAGCTCCTCTGCAGAAGCAAAGCTCAGTCCTCCTGGTGCTAACTGTGCCCTCCCTTGGCTGCAGGTGTCCACCGCCATGGCTGAGGAGATCAGGCGCCTCTCTGTGCTGGTTGATGAGTACCAGATGGACTTCCACCCATCCCCAGTTGTCCTCAAGGTTTATAAGAATGTGAGTGAAGCAGCATGTGCTCTTGGCAGGGACCATTGGGCAGAGTTACCATGCAGACAGCAGCTCAGCCTTAGCTGCTCTGGCTCAGGGTTCCTGAGTGGAAGTGACAGCCAGAACATGATGTCCAGGCTTCCTCTGCCTATTTGGTCAGCTGGCAGAGGAGGTCTGGTTGAACACCCCCACAAACTCCTGCTGTGGTGCCTCGTCTCGTAACCCTTCTTTTCTGGAGGCAGGAACTGCATCGTCATATAGAGGAAGGCCTGGGCCGGAACATGTCTGACCGCTGCTCCACTGTCATTGCCAGTTCACTACAGACTATGCAGCAGGACATGATAGGTCAGTGCCACAAGGGACCTGGAGTCTGTGGGGCTGCCATATCCAAGCTGAGGGCATGGCTGGAGAGATAGCTCAGTGTACTCAGAGAGTATACTGCTTTCACAGAGGACCTGAGTTTGGTTCCCAGAACCCGTGTCACAAGTTTCACAACTGCCTGAACTTCAGAGCATCCAGGAGGTCCTATGCTCCTGACTTCATATGCTTCTGCAGGCATGTGCACACACACACCCAGATGCACACATTTAATCAAAACTAATGAATCAACTAAGATGACCTTTCCTTATCTGTTACTTTGATAGTGATTTAACTCACTGCTTTCAGCTTCTGGGTGTGCATCCTGAGTTCATTCTGTATGGACTTGGGCAGCCCATGCTTGGGTTGCCATAGGGACAGTATACAAGCCGAGACTTTGGCATGACTGCTGGCAGGTTTGGGAAGGTGACCTGTAAACCAGTCCCACCAGCTGACCAACCAAGTGTCACTTCTCCACAGAGCTGCAATGTCCCTAGCAACTGGTGTAGACTGTGTGCCTGAGGTTGGGTGGCCCTGATGTGACACAGGCCTGAGCTGATGTCTTCTCTTCCTGTTTTGCCCGACAGATGGCTTGAAGCCCCTTCTTCCTGTGTCTGTGCGGAATCAGATAGACATGCTGGTCCCTCGACAGTGTTTCTCCCTCAGCTATGACCTGAATTGTGACAAGCTGTGTGCTGACTTTCAGGAGGACATTGAGTTCCACTTCTCCCTTGGATGGACTATGCTAGTGAACAGGTTCCTGGGCCCCAAGAATAGCCGCCGGGCCTTGCTGGGCTACAGTGATCAGGCAAGAAGCTCCTTTCCCTACCACCAAGGCAGTCAGTCTACTGCTGGGGTCCTTAGGACAGAAGCCATTTGGAGTGCCATCAGGACACTGGTCAGGATTCTTGCCATTACCAACTTGGTCTTGTCCTAATGACAAATGCTGAGGGCTGGCCGAGCTGTGGTCTGCACACCTTTAATCCAGGGCTTCTAAGGCAGAGGCAGGCAAATCTCTGTGAATTTGAGGCCAGCCTGGTCTTCAAAGTAAGTTCTAGCCAGCCAGGACTATTACCCAGAGAAAACCTGTCTCGGAAAATGAAAATTCTGAGTGTTTTTCTAGTGCTTGTTTAAGTACGTGCCCTTCAAAACAGACCACTTGGAGTCTGGGGACATAGCTCAGTAGACAAGTGTCTGCCTGGTATATAGGGGGCTTTGGTTGTAATCCTAACACAATTTGGCGGGGGAGAATTTAAAAATACTTATCTACAAACCACCACTTTAAAATTTAGAATAAAAAATAATTTTAAAGAGATTTTTAGAATAAAACTAGGTTAGGAGCTGGCGAGATGGATGGACGGCTCAGCAGTTTAGAGTGCTTGTTGTTCTTGAAGAGGACACAGGCCCCGCGCTCAGCACCTGCATGATGGTTTGTAGCCATCCTCAACAAAACATTCATACATAGAAACTTATAGTAAGTAAATCTTAGAGGAAAAAAATGCGTAGCATCACTTTAGATTTTAGAATAAAAAGTACACTGGAGACCGAGGAGATGGCTCGGTGGGTATAAACACTTACTCCAGAGTTAGTTGTCAGCCTGGCTGAAACAGCGAGCTTCCAGTTCCCTGAGAGACTGTGTTAACTCGGAAGGCTGTAGAGGAGGACACCTGACAGTCTGCACTAGTTTCTCCATGTGAGTGCACAGAGGCACCCCCCCCCCCACACACACACATACACACACCGATGCATACGCCACACATATACACTCATGCTTAAAGTACTGCTTTTAGAACAGGTCCTGTACTGCACAAGCCTAGTAGCTTCCATCTGTGGCATGCCCCAGTACTCACCTTGGACTTGCAGGGGCAGACTTCCCACTATGATGCACACAAAGCGCATTCTCCTTGTGTGCCCTCTGCTCAGTCCCTGTCCACCTGTGCAGTCCTGAGGGTCCCTGAGGGTGTGCTTGAATAACAGACTTGCAACATTCTTCTCATACCTTTGTCATCTCTCATCAGGTTCAGCGTCCTCTCCCTCTGACACCTGCCAACCCCAGCATGCCCCCCTTGCCACAGGGATCCCTCACCCAGGAGGAGCTCATGGTCTCCATGGTTACGGGCCTGGCCTCTCTGACATCCAGAACCTCCATGGGCATTCTCGTGGTTGGAGGAGTGGTCAGTGACACTTGCTTGGGGAAGGGGTAGTGGGAGGGGCCTGGGGGCTCAGTGAGTGTTTTCTACCCTGGGAGCTGTGTGGCCAGAGCCCTTTCACATACAGTTGCTCCACTGAGATATCACTCAACTGATAGGATGTTCTCCCATTTTCTGGGAATGGCTTTCAGCCATAGCTCATTTGAACACTCCCATCTGACACTGAGGCCTCTTCCTCCACAGCAAATAGAGAACAGGTTAAGGAGGAGGAGGCTCACCTGGTCCTTGAACTTTTCCCTTTCTTGCCTCTGGATGGCTCTGACCCAAGCTGTGAGGAGCAGCTGGCTGTCCTCTAGTTTCTGTGGGCCTCACTGTGTTCTGACTCAAGACACTTTTCAGCCACAGTCCCTCACATCTGAGATCCCTAGTGGAGTTGGCCAGCTCTCACACCCTTTTGTAGACTGTGGAGAGGCAGAGCCGTGGGAGAGGGTGACATCACAAACACTGTCAGGAATTGCTTTTCCAGCATGTAGTACAAGATGGATCAGCCGAGGCCCCTCCCCTGGGCCGAGAGTTGCAATCTGTGGCTCTTTCCCCAGAGAGTGGCCTAGAAGAGAGCCATGGTTTGCAGTACTGACCATCCATAGACCCCTTTATAGCCTTGTTTACCTAGCTAGAGCGCCTGTGAATTAAACTTACCTTATGTGCCCAAGCTCGGACAGCCAGGACGGTGGATGACGTGAGCCCTGAAGCTGAGCGCCCAGCCCCATGACTAAACTACAGCTGTGAGGTGGCACACCAAATTCTGACTCTTGTCATCAGAATAAGCTGTTCCTTTGGATTAGCTGTGTTTCTTTTTAAGAAGCCTGTTTCTCAGCTTGGGGCTGAAGCTCAGCAGGAAAGAGCTTGTCCAACATGTGCCAAGCCCTGTATTCCATTCCCAGTACTTAAAAGTATAGAACAAACAAACTTCGCCTAGATCAGGACAGTGGTCCCAACCTTAAGTTATGTCCTGTGGCTAACATTCGGTTTCCCTCATTTTGCACTGCAGTCCTGGAGAGTCCCTGCCCTCCCTCTTACCTCACTGGGCTTCCAGCGACTGCTCCAGATTGACCATGCATCTTTACAGGTGTGGAAGGCAGTGGGCTGGAGACTCATTGCCCTCTCCTTTGGACTGTATGGCCTCCTGTACGTCTACGAGCGGCTGACCTGGACCACCAAAGCCAAAGAGAGGGCTTTCAAGCGCCAGTTTGTGGAATACGCCAGTGAAAAGCTACAGCTCATTATCAGTTATACTGGCTCAAACTGCAGCCACCAAGTCCAGCAGTGAGTGGCCAGGGACCCGAGGGAGGACACCTCAATAGGTGGGCTTTCCACCTCCTTTCAGCCTGACCTGAGAGCCCCTAGGTCTTAGCGTCATGGGCCTAGGACTTTGGCTGGGCAGTACCAGCTTTGCATCTATGGATGACGGAGGGGTCCAAGGCTGAGGTCAGGCAGGCCTCCAGTGCCCCAAGATGGGAAGACATTGGGAAAACGAGGGAACCAGGGACATGCTTCATAGATTTTAGAGATTGCTTTGGGACTGGAAATGTAGCTTAGTTGGCAGAGTGCATGCCTAGCATACATGAAGCCCTGGGCTTGATTCCCCAGTATCATATAGATCAGGTGTGATGTCTTAGAGAAACACCTGTAATCCAGCACCCAGGAGATGGAGCAGAAGGATCATTCTTGGCTACATGGGGAGTTTGGAGCCAGGTTGGGCTACATGAGACCCTGTCTCTACATAAGTAAGTGAATAAAGTTACCTTGAAGGGCATAAGCTGTGGGATCCTAAATCAAAGCCTGGTTATGGTGCCTCGGTGTGTCAGGGGTACCTGTGGGTGCTCCCTCTTGGAGCATGGAGAAGGCAGATAGTTGTACTCCCCTGCACTGCCTCTCTTTTTGTCTCTGTGTCCCAGGTCTCAGACTATCTAGCCCAGCCTAATCTCAAACTCAGAGCCATCTTCCAGCTTCAGCCTCCCGAGTCCTAGGATTTCAGGCATGAGCCACCATTCTTGTTTTTTTTGATTGACCCTCTTGACTGTGGCATGACAGACCCTTTTTGCACTAGCTTTCCCTTTACTCTTACAGCTGTGTGCTAGATGGTTATTGGTGTGTTCTTTCTCAAGTGAGAGCACTGATAGGGGCTAGGGATATAGCTCTGTTAGAAAAGCGCTTGCCTTGCAGGAAAGAAGGCCTGAGTTAATCCCTAGCATAGCCCCCTCCCCCCCTCCCTCCCTCCCTCCTTCCCTCCCCTTCCTGGCACTTGCGCGCGCGTGCGCACACACACACAAGAGGATACTGAAACTTGGACTCAAAAGGGATGAGTCCCTTTCCTTGTCCCCTAGCTGATGAGCATCAGTGTTAGAGCCCTGGCCTCTTGTGTCCAGGTCAGGTCAGGCTCAGCCCTGGGATGCTGTGCCTCCCGAGGTGGTGCCCAATGTCTTTGATGGGATTGGGAGCTGTTTGTGGTTTCAGCAGAGGTGGAAAGGATTTCAAAGCAGGCCTGCAGGCCAGAGCAGGTATGGAGGATAGGCTCAGCTGCTACTCTGTTCTGGGTAGATTTAACCACGAATAGAAGAATCCTGCCTCAACTACCATGTGCCCAGTTGATCCAACCTCTGTTCCCTCAGGGAATTGTCTGGGACGTTTGCTCATCTATGCCAGCAAGTTGATATCACCCGAGATAATCTGGAGCAGGAAATTGCCGCCATGAACAAGAAAGTCGAGGCTCTGGATTCACTTCAGAGCAAAGCCAAATTACTCAGGTGAGTGGCCCAGGACCAAGCGGGCGTGGGGGGGGGGGGGGGTGGGGGTTGGAGCTTGTCTGCCACCTGGTGTCTCCAGTGTGGACACCAAGTGCTCTTTGGGGGTTTAGCGTTCTTGTGAGATGTTTGCTCAGCACTGTTGGGTATAGGTTAGATAGTGCTAGAGCTGGAGGCTTTATGGACAGTTTCGTTGTCCTCAAGGTGCTTGCAGATGGGGCATAATGACATCCAGGTGACGAGCAAGGCAGTGCTATGATATCACAGCTCATGGGTTCCCTCTGAACTGTAGGGCCTCAGCACTTGGCACAACTGTCCCAACCAGTTTTTGTTACTCTTAGAAGAGTGGGTCATCAGCTCTACAGTTTTTGTTCTGTTTGTGACAGGATCTCTTTGTAGCCTTGGCTGGGCTGGAACTTGCCATATGAATGAGGCAAATGTACTGAGATCCACCTGCCTCTGCTTCCCTAGTGCTGGGATTAAAGGTGTGTTGCCACCATGCCCACCTCAGCTCTGCTTTCTAATAGGAAAATTGGTAGCCATGGAAGCTGAGTTCCTTGTCTACAGAAACGGCCAGATGGAACGTGGGGTGTAGGTGGGCTGCACTTTGGTTTTCGTTGCTCTGTGTGAGAGCTGCCACCATGTCAGTCATACTGTTTCATGCTGAGCCCAGGAGCTAGGGTGCATAGCACCAGGTCTCTCCACAGGAACAGGATTGGTGGTCTCTGTAGAAGTGTGAAGTTTGCTGGGACGAGGGTCAGTCGAAGGAGTCTGGTTCTGGGTTCTGGCCCTGCAGTCTCAGTTTTTCTGTGTCCTGTGGTTTTTTATCTGTGAGATGAGCCGCGGCTGAAGATGGAAGTGTTCTGCTAAGTCCTCAGCCTGCTCAGGCCAGGAGAACATCAGTATATGGGGACCTGCACTTCCTTCCCCCATCTCTGATGTCAGAGAGCCACAGGGGATAGAGCTAGAGAAGAGATAGATAATCAGGGTTTCAGTTCTAGCCATGACAGATCAGTGGACTTTCCCTCCTTTGTCTGGCCTGTGCAGATATATCCCTTCTGCCCATCACCAGGAATATACTGATTTTCCACTGGGACTCTCAGGACAGAGTGTATGTTGCTGCTTGTAGCCACAAAGATAGCCTGAGCTAACACCCAAACCTTTATCTGTCAATCAAGAAAGCTGTCTTACAGAGATTGAGACTTGTTCTGGGCTGTAGCCAAACTAGAAAAACCTAAAACCCACTGTGGTGGTTCACTCCTGTAATCAGAGGATGTAGGAAGGTGAGGCAGGAGGATGGCTGTGAGTTCTTAGTTCACTCCTTTTTAAAATTGCCTGGCTCTGTCCCTTCAGCTCGTGACCTCCTTTTCCTCATTTATTTGCAAAGTGGGAAACTGCTATTGGAGGGTTGTGTGAATGTTCAGATAGGCTGGTGTGATCGGCCGCAGCAGCTGTACCTGTACAGTAATACTGTATTTGCAGGAATAAAGCTGGCTGGTTGGACAGCGAACTCAACATGTTCACACACCAGTACCTGCAGCCCAGCAGATAGTGGGCAGCCAGGGCGGACCTGCACTGAGAAGAGGCAGGGCCGCACCTCCCATCAGCTCTAGTCCTTGGCTGCTGCAGAGAGAAGGAAAGCACCCACTGTCTTGTACCAGTTACTCCCTACCCCCTGCAGGAGGACCCCTGGCTCACACCCTAATGGAGACCAACAAGGACTGGCCAGCTCAGCCGCAAGGAGTCATGCATGTGTCTGTGTCTGCTCATCACGCTCACTCGGTGGAAGTCACTGTGCATTTGATAAGGTCTTCCTCAGGATGGCACCCTGCAGAATGACTGATGGGAGCCTTCATAGGCATCAGACAGGCACTCCTGCTTCCTCCAGCCAGAGCACACCTACAGAGAGAGACAATGTTGGGGGTGACTGGACTCTCCTGAAAAATTCAGGATACTTCTGGAATTGTCAAGTTTGTCTCAGAAGAACCTGTATCTTGCATTTGGCCCTCAGCTTTAGCACTTTTTCGCACTTGCAGAGTCTTTCAGTTGTGCTTGGTGACCAGGCTCTACACACCCTGGGCTTTAGACTCAACCAGCTTGTATGAGAAGCTGGAGACCCCTGCCAGCCAGAGCAAAGTAAGAGCTCGGGAGAAAGTATGTGAACTAGGGTGTCTGGTATGGTGTGCTGTTGGTGACGACATTGTGATGACAAGGGACTTGCCTCCTTTCTTGCCATTGAGGCCCGTGCTCGCTCTTCAGCTCTCGGCCTGTTAGTCCTGGTTTGTTAGCGAGAGCTAGTTTGCTCTCTCAGGTGGTTAAAGGATGTAGCAGGAGGAATGGTGGAAGATGGGGGCTTCCCTGGTTAGTACAGAAGAGGTCTCTCTATCTGACCTAGCACTGAGGGGCTCACAAACTTCTGTGAGGCACACCTCGCTAATTTTAGCTCATCCCTGCCTTGCTGCAAGTTCCCTGTAGCCACCATTCTCTGGCTGTACCGTGATGATGACTGCAGCTGGCTACAAACAGCACGAGAACCTGGCAGCTGTTGTCCTACTGCCCCGACCCTCAGGCCTCCTCCTCTTCTGCTCCTGAAGCCTCCCGCTGCTTGCTTCGCCTCACGTCAGCGCTGACCTCACTGTTGAGTGTTGAAATTGTTAGTGGTCAGAGCAGGGAGAATTCCAGTCACCAAGGTTGGTTGTCTTGGAAAAGCAGTTTTAGAGTGATGAATCCTTTATAGGACAGGTAGAGAGTGTCTTAGAGATAAACCATTGGTCTCCAGCCCTTCCCAGAAGCCCACAACCAGGAGCTGTCTGTGGGATGCTGTCCTGCTGGTTGGGTGCCTCAAGGGCCATGTCCTCTCCTGCCCGTGTCTGAGTGCTCTCTTGCCCCTCGGTGTACCCTTTGTGCTGGGACAGTGATGGTCTTGGCCAAGGTCAGCATGTAATGGAAAGACATAGTGTATTGCCAGGCTGGATAGATGGGGTCATCTCACAATGGGTCAGGACAAATCAGTGCCACGTAATCCCAGTCAATGGTATGTTCCTTTTTGGGGGAGGGGGGTAGAATAAACTCAATTTCTCTTTCAGTGTAGCCCTTGAGTAATGAATGAAGTTTTGAGCTTATATAAGTAAAGATTCATTTATTCCACCAGGGAGAGCCTGTATCTGAGAGTCGTTTAGCAGAGAGCACTTTAGTTTCTTGCTGCTAACTGTTGTGTGATCCTTTGCTGGGGTGCAAAAGGCACCAAACAGTGTGTTTGCTTCTGGTATATTTAGGTGATGCATCTGCCTGGGTTACCTGTATCTCTACTGATCATATTGGAAACAAAAATAAAGCCCCAGTTGTGACCCTGTGTGAACTCTCTGCCTTGCCGTGGTCTGCTCTGAGAAGAAAGGACATGGCCAGCCTCCACAGGCCAGATCTGGAACAATTCTTGAACAGAGTTCTCTGTAACTCCACATTTTACTTCAGCAGCCATCCCACTTTGCCTTCTGAGAACTTACCTCTGACCTTTCTTGTTTGAAGGGCCCTTGGGAATGGAAAAGGCCATTGGTGGTGGATTCTCCTTGTTCTGCTTCCTGTGTCCTCTTGATGGAGGCTCCACTGCTGCTCACCCACTTGTGTGTCTCAGAAACCCTGAGCTCAGGATGGTGTTGTGCCTGTTCAAGAAGCATTGTTGAACCCCAAAAGAGCACCGGGGAGCAGTCGCACCAGGGAGCAGTCGCACCAGGGCCTTTATCAAGCTGGAGCTTGGGCTCCTGTCACTAATGCTGCAGGATGGGAGGGTGAGGTCTGGAGCCTTCAGCAGGACAAGGTTTCATAGGGGATGGTGAGCAAGTGAGGGGGTTTCCATCCTGGCAAGAATTGAATGACTATTGTAAGGTGGGTGCTCTGAAGCAAAACCATGAGCAATCAAATGGTCTGATAGTATATGTGGAACTACCAGACTAATCCTGATTGGCTGTTGCTGGGAGTAACTCTGACTATGGGCCACCGACAAGCTATGTGGTTCTTCCTGAACTTGGGTGCAGCTTGAATTCAGCTGCAGGTTAAGTTCTCAGGCCCTTTTTCTTTTAAAATGGATGCTGATCCCAAGATGGCGTAGGTTTGGCCTCTCTGTGGTAACCACATCCTCCCAGATTCCGAGACCACAAACTTGATGCGTCATCAAGCCCACCATGCTGTACCTAGTCTGCCACTGTCTGAATCTCTGGGACTCTGACCTCTTCCTCCTCCATTACAGCTACTCTGCGCCGATACGGGTTATTGCTTCTTGCCCTATTTCCTCCCCAACCCTTGCCTCTTATGACCTTTGCACTTGGAGTTGAGCACATGTCACCCCACGCACCCAGAGCCCATCCAGGGTAGAAGCCCAAGTTCTTCCTTGGTTCCTCAGATTCAGGTTCTTTCTCTCCCCGCCACCTCTGCTTGTCTCCAAGTGTCTCTGTCTTTCCTCACCCTGAACTGATGCCCTTACCATGCACACCAGATATGCATGTATCCTAGAACAGTCATGGTGCAGGTGTCTCCCCTATAGAAGGGGCTCCGTAAGGCATGGGGCTGTTCTGGTCTGTTTCAGGAGAGCAGTTCTATTTACACATTATCAGTCCAGGACTTTGGGAGTGCCCAAATGCTCCTGGAAGCCTGTGGGTGGACCCAGTTTTAGGACATTCAAGTGTGTGTTGAGAATTCAGCTTTGTGGAAATTGAAGTTCAGAGAAATAAGTCTAGCTGATGCCCTAGCATCTTGGGCTGATTGGGGAAGGGAAGGTGGGGGGGTGGAGCCTGCCTTTGTACTCCAATCTTTATTTCCCCAAGCCTATCATCTTTTAAACGTGCCCTTCACTCTCCTCTGCACTAGAAACACATGATACAGTACACGTGTATGTGAAACAAAAAGTTTAGTAAGTGCAGGGGCTTCTGTCAGCAAGCATCTACTGATGGCCTCCAGGTGGTGGCTGACAAGGAAGGGTGTTTTGAACCTTGCCTCACAACCATACACAGTTAATTTTTCTCAGGTAAGGGCAGGTTCATCTCCGCTTGGTCTGCTCACTAGAAGGGGAGGGGAACAGAGCGTTGGGGTTTTAACCGTCCAGTGCTGGGGTGCCGGGGAGACCCAACCTATCTCTCAGACATAGCAAGTTTCAGGCTGGCCATGCTGCATAGTGACTCCGGTCTTTAAAAAACAAAAAAGTGTGGGGGCGTGGGGGCATATGATTAAAGAATCAGGCAGTAGATTTGAGTTTGAGGCCAGCCTGGATTACATAGAGAAACTCCTGTCTCAGGAGGAGGGTTGACTTGCCCAACAACAGGAGGCTCTAGGTTTCATTCCCAGCATTCCCAACAACAAAAACTTCTGCTTTTACAAAGCTCGTCTGTGGATAAGAGCCAAGATCAATTCCGTAAAAACTAGAAGTCAGAAGATGAGGAAAGAAGGTGTGGAAGGGTAAAAGGGTGGTTGGTTGGAGGAGCTCTGAGCTATCATCTGAGTACAAACTGGGTAATGAAGTCCTGGTAGATCTGGGTAGGGGAGTATTCCATGGCAGAAACAGCATGTGCAAAGGACCTGAGGTAAATGCTTCATTGTTTTGTGGCCAAAGTAGAGTGAATGAGAAGGAAGAGGAAAGACAGCAGATAGGACCTAGGGGCAGAATGGTTTTGTTTTTTTGAGGCAGGTGCTTCTGAGGAGAGGAAGGGGCAAGTAAGAAGGGCTGACTTACCCTTACTAGGAGTCTGCAGTGATGCTGGTGGAGACAGATCAGAGTGAGGGAAGCAAAGAGAACAGCCAGTCAATGACAACACTGCAGGAGGGTCATGAAAGTGCCCTAGACGGAGTGCTTACAAGAGAGCAACACAGGTGACAAGAAGGATCAGATTCTATGTATCTGTTTGAAACACCATGATGTGTACGCCTTTTTTTTGTTTGTTTTTGGTTTTTTTTGAGACAGGGTTTCTCTGTGTAGCCCTGGCTGTCCTGGAACTCTGTAGACCAGGCTGGCCTCAAACTCAGAAATCCACCTGCCTCTGCCTCCCAAGAGCTGGGATTAAAGGCGTGTGCCACCACTGCCCGGCTTTTTTGGTTTTTCAAGACAGGGTTTTGCTGTTCTGGAACTCTGTGGACTGGGCTGGCCTCATATCTGCCTGCCTCTGAGTCTCGAGTGCTTGGATTAAAGGCATGCATGTCCCTCCTCCCCTTTTTAAAAGCTACTTTTAAAGCGGTATGCGTGTGTGTGTGTGTGCGCGCGCGTGCGTGTGTTATGATGGCTATGTAGATGCTGAGATCTGAAGATTACCCTGCCCCTGTCTGGGATGAAAGGTGAGCACTGTCATGCTCAGTTTGTACATGCTCGGGCTCAAACCCAGCAATCTGTGCACAATAGACAAAAGCACTCAGTTATCTGAGCAACATCCCCGGTGTGCATGCCCATGCACTGACATGCCGTATGATGCAGATGGACATCAGAAGGTAACTTTTGGAGTTACCCCAACTTTGTGAGGCAGAGTGTCTCTTTTTTGCTTCCAAAGTGGCCAGAGAGCTTATAGGCCATTCTCCGGTTTCTACCTACCCCGTCTTACCATAAGGGTGCTAGAGATTTATGCCGACCTATCTCCCTGGCCCCATCATTTTTTGGGGGTCAAGTCCATTTTTAAGAGTATAGTCAACCAGCAGGGCATGGTGGCACACACCTTTAATCCCAGAGCTCAGAGGGGCAGAAGCCAGCCTTAACTACAGAGCTAGTTCCAGTACAGCCAGGACTACACGGGGAAACCGTCTTGAAAAAACAAAATAAAAATTCAGTACATTAAAACAACTGTTCGGCAACCAAATGCAATCCAGTTTTGGATTTCCATCCCCAGAAAGACCCTTCTGTAGTGATCGCCACATCCATTCCCACCCTAGACACTGGATCCAGTCATCTGTCTCTTCAAGTTCGCCCTTTATGACTATTCCATATAACTGCAATTATACAATATATAATCCTTGTTTTCTGTGAAACTAGGGAGTGGATCTGATACATTTAGATGGTTCGTGTGTGTGTGTGTGTGTGTGTGTGTGTGTGTGTGTGTGTGTTAGCCATGTTAAAGGCTGATAGGAATATTTACATAAAGGTCTTTATATGGAGATAATCCTTGGTAGATAGCACAGACTGGAATTTCTGGGTTATCTACTACTAAGGACTACCAACCCTTTTCTGAAGTAGCCATAGCATTTTATGTCCTGACCAGCAGTGCACAAATTCCAGTTTGGCCTATCCTCAGTGACACTTGGTACAGTGAGTCACTTTTCGTGCCTTTGACTTCTTTTGCAGAAGGGGTGGACCTACACAGCCTTTAAAATGGGCTAAGCATGCATTTTCCAACTATCCTACAGCCCTGACCCAGTAGCTCATAATTCACAACATCATAAATGTTTGTGTTTTTGAGAAAGGGTTTCTCTGTGTAGCCCTGGCTGTTCTAGAACTACCGCTGTAGACCAGGCTGGCCTCAAACTCAAAGAGACTCACCTGCTTTTGCCTCCTGAGTGCTGGGATTAAAGGCACGCACTACCACTGCCTGGCTGAATATATATGTATTGATGTCTTTCTTGATTTTAGTCTGTAGGTGTCTGGTGGATCCCAGGGCAATACAAGACCCTGGAAGAAACGATTCTAGGATGGGAGCTGGTGCTTGAGGTGCCCACGGTAGAGAAGAATGTGGTATGCATGGTCTGGCAGGCCTCAGTGGTACAGTGTTCTGTCGAGCATTTGTACTAGGCAGAGCTCTCTAGAGGAACAGAACCAACAAATGTATGTGTGTGTTATAAAAGGGGATTTATTTACTGGGCTTACACAATGGAGCTGGATGGTCCAGTAGTGGCCATTCATACGCTGGAGAAGCTGAGACTCTGGAAGCCACCTAATCAAGGAAGGAAGCTCAACAATTCAAACCAGTTCTGACAGGCCTGGGAAGGGTCTTATAGAGCTTGGTATTAGATCCATGCTGAAAGGCCAAAGAAGCTGGAGGTGGCGGTGGCAGCAACAGCTGAGGCACTGAAAACATCTCTTTCCTGGTACTATTTCTCTTACATTCTTTTCCATCTGGGTGGCAGTCTGGAAGGTGCTGTCCACAGCGAGGGTGGGGCCTTCCATGTCAGTCCTCTCTGAAAACATCCCCAATGACACGAGACATCCCACCAGTCCTAGATGTCCCTATATGCAGTCAAGGTGACAACCATTTCCAACCATCACAGGCCCACTACTTACTTATCAACTTGACATCCAATGTTTCTTTATATCATGTTTACTTTTCAGATAAAGCCAATAACTGTGGCAAGAGATTTCCCCGGAAGTCTACTCACTCCAGATAGGAGAAAGCAATGGACTTAGATGGACCAAAGGAGCCATTCCACCCAAATTCAACTTGATGAACCAGTGAGGCTAACTAGGCTTACAGAAACATAATAACTGATAGGAAGCTACACTGACGTCTTCCACCCCTTCATATGCCTTCCCCTTCCATGAGGGAATATTAGTGGGCTCCAAATCTTGTAGAGGTACCACATAAGAAATCTGCTCCCTCTTCTGCAATGTTCCCTGAGCATTAGAGGGGGTGACAGAGACGTATGGTTTTCTTCCATTTAGGGCTGAGCATTGGGCCACTATGACAGGGTCACTTGAATTCTCAGCGTCTGGATCACTTGCCAGTTTCCTCATTAACTACCACCTACTGCAAAAAAAAAAAAAAAGTTCCCAAGTCACCAAGACTGACAGCATCAAGAATCTATAGATATAACGATTTAGAAGGCAATTTGACAGGCACATCATACCACTTAGCAAAACAGCAGCACTTCCCCACTAGGATAGATAACCTTCCCAGCTCAGAGCTTTTCTGCTGCTGGCTTACAGTGCCAGCTATGGGTCCCTCTCTTGGGGAGCAGGGTTTAAATCCAATAGGAAAATGGTTGCACAATCAACTATCATGCCAATGTTGTACAAGCAGACACAGTTGCCTGTAAAATAACTCAATAGTATCCCTGTCTAGCTTCAAATGAAATGAGGCTCAAACTAGGCTCTGTGAAATTACTGGGGAATAGTCCCTAATCCTCCAATAGTAGCCTGGCTAGTATCCCAACTATGCTTCCTAAATACTCACTGTTTCAAAGTTTCTAGGTTATTTCTGCTCCAGTGGAGGTATTTCACCCTGGCACATGCCGATGGTCTATTATGACTAATGGAGACCTCCTGTTCTCTGTCTTCTCCTCCCCTGCACTCTTCTTCCTCTCTCCTCCTCATAGTCCCTGTGACCGCCCCCCCCCCCCCAGTCTGTTAACTCAAATTCCACCTCTCTCTAGTTCCCCCAGTAATTGACTGTCACCAGGTTTATTTAAGCAACAGTTTTATGTGGGGAGCAAGGTTTATACAACAAAGGCTAGTATACATGAAGATCCACTCATCTCGGAGCAGCCAGATCTTAGAGTACAGAATTTTAGCATTTGGATACAAGCAGCAGCAGTCCAACTCCATACATTTCCCCCTTTTTTGTCTACATAAAAAGGGTCTTTCTTTTACAGTAATAAACAACACACAGTAGGAACAATTATGAAAACGATTAGATACGAGTTACATTTAAAAAGTCCAGTCTGTTTGTATTTGGCAATCTTTGGATAAAACATTCTACCATCTATACCACCTTGGTAAGTTCAGAGTTTCGTATCTAAATCATTTTCTATGATAGCATGCATTATTAACCTAAAAACATTTTTTTAGATCTAAAAACCTTGTAAGTCCTAACTTAAGCTTAAGTGTGAGACTATAACCGTCTAGTCTTCAGCCCCATCAGAGACCTCAGAAGGATTAATATTGCCTGAGTATGCAGGAGGGTATAGGCAAGCAGCTTCCAAGGCTATAGAAAAGACAGACAAATGGCTGACGGTTCCCCAGGATTGTCTCAATAACATAGAAGTATCCATCCTCAACCTTCTGGTAGTAAGTATATCTGACAGGTATATTTGTGAAGCAGGACATATGAAGGACTTGCTTACTCTGTCTTGGCAGAGTTAGGCAGTCGACTTTGCCTGCATTTAAGTTTGCCCATTTTGGACAGCATCCTGTCTGCAGAGGGAATAAGGCACTTTCTTTGCCGAGTGGCAGCTTGCCACATTAGAATCCATCTCCTTTTTTTTTTTTTTTTTTTTTTTTTATAGGTTTTTCGAGACAGGGTTTCTCTGTATAGCCCTGGCTGTCCTGGAACTCACTCTGTAGACCAGGCTGGCCTCGAACTCAGAAATCCACCTGCCTCTGCCTCCCAAGTGCTGGGATTAAAGGGGTGCGCCACCACCGCCCGGCTAGAATCCATCTCCTAATGGAGATTCTTCAATGCTCATCCTTCCTTTTCCAAGACGAATGGGGTGCCACCAGGAGCTGACATGTCTCAATGTCAAAAAGGCCTTAAACTAATAAAAACATCTTTAAATGCCATTTTCTGTGGTCTCTGAGGGTTTTGAGGGTTTATCTATTCATAGCATATCTGAACAACCAAATGTTGCTTGTTCCTAGTTTACATTATCTGTTCAACTTATGATCTACCAGTCCGGTAACTCAAACTCTACCTCTCTCTATTCCCCCAGTAACTGGCTATCACCTGTTTTATTTAACCAATAGTTTTAAACTGGAGAGCAAGGTTTATAACAAAGGCTGGAGTAAGTAAGGATCCTCTCGTCTTGGAGCAACCAGACCTTGGGAAATAGAATTTATTAGCATTTGACTACAAGCAGAATCAGACCAACACCCTCCAGCTGCCTGTAGACCTTAACATTTAGAGTCCATAGCTGAGTGGCAACACGACAACAGTAGCCTGCATAGCACTTTCTAACACTATGAGTGCCAGCCGGCAGAGAGGAAGCTTTCATTCAGCATACTCCATGCATTATTCCTCTATGTCCTAGGATCAAAGCATGTGATGTCTTCAGCATTAGATCTTATAATCTAGTTTCTGTATGCAACCAACCAGTGGCAATAATCTTTTTGGGTTTGTGGGGCTTCAGGGACCTCATAGGAAAGTAACCCACCTCTGGCTCTAGAATCTATGTTGAAAGAAAAGAGAAAAAGAAAGAGCAAAAATCATCTCTGTCCTTTATGTCTCCGCTGCAGGGCAACCTTCTGAATTTAAACTCTTTACCTGATGCTTTGATATTCACAGGTGGAGAGAGACAACTGCTATACGGTCCATAGGAGTCAAACCATCATCTGTGCCCAGATTACTTTTGGCTAATTTTATTAGTTATTTCTACTAAGTCCTGCAACTCAGCAGCCATGGCCCCCACTGTTTGGTCCTTTATACAGAGAAGGCTAAATACAAAGCTCTTCCAAGACTCTGGAGTTGCCCTGACAAAAGTTATCCTCATAGCCCTAGTGATGGGTGCATCTTCTGGGCCCCTCCACTTCGGACAAGTAGCTTTTACACAAAGCCACTCAATCATTCCAAGTTCCCTAAGGATTTTAATCCCATCAGCAATATAACGCCATGACATGGTGTCAGGCATCTGCAACTTTCTCGTAGTAGGCCATCTTTGGACCCATACTTCAACCAACCAATCAAACAAACTCTTCACACCATTTCCTTCAACAGTGCGGGCTATGACATTAAACTCACTATCATGGCTCAAAGGACCTAAACAAAGAAATTCAGTCTGATCCAGTATTGTGAGCCTCCCGTCATTATCCCACACCCTTAAAATCCATTCCCCGGCACGTTCATTTTCCTTTTGTGTATTTGGATAAGCAAGTGATTTGAGTTCACTGTTAGTACGGCATTGTTTCTGACTTGTAAGGACAGACATAGACTTGGGTCTGGTGACAGGTCCAGAAGTAACTAAGGGTGGTAGAGACTGGTTCTGAGCAATGGCAGCTTCGTCCTGCTGGGCCCGTTCTTTAGACAAAGTTGGAGAGGCCGAGGCAGTGGGCAAGTCTGCTTTCTCAGTCCCATCAGAATCTATGTCCTGCCACACATCTCCATCCCAGGTTACCAGATCCCATTCTTTGCCAATCAGTGCGTTCACCTTATCTGCAGACACCTTCCGAGCGGGCTGACCCGGGACCTGGGATTGTAAATCAGCTAATCTCACAATGAGGGCTCGAGTCTGCTTTTCTCCAACTTCAATCCTGCGGCGGTAGAAGAGAAGAGTCTCCTCCAGGACACACTTAGAAACCTTTAGATCATTTACGTGCATTCGGAGCTGGGAAATTTCATCTCTGAATTGGTCCTTTTCCTTTGTTACTTTATCCAGAGATGCCAGAAGCAGCTCGCCAACTGCGTCATAGTCCCTAGTCTTCCAGAAATGTTCGAAAGTATTGTACACAGAGTCGTTAAGTTCCTTACCGTTCGAAAAGGCTGAATCGGGGAGGTCCGCCGCATTTACCTTTTTCAGCAGCTCACGCCATGGGTTAACAGTGTCCTCGGCACTATCAGGAGGGTCCTTGGCAAGTTCAGGTTTGAAGAGCCAGCTCGAGAAACCAGCAAGCGCACGTAGGAAATTCATCTTCAGACTTTTGTTCCTCTAGAACCCGGATGCTGAGTCCTACAAGCCTCGGATCCAAATTCCAATTCGTCCCTGGCGGGACCTATAAAAGCACTCTGGGGAATTGCTGGTGTGGGGTCCACGTGGAAAGGTCAAAGCGGTCGGAGATGCTAGCGGCAGTGGCTAAGCAGTTCCCTCCTCTCACTTGGCTTTTTCGCGCCAGTTGGAAGGCGCCGCCCACATTGAGGGTGGGTCTTCCTCCTGTCAGTCATACTGCCCCACACGCCAATCCTCCGTTCACCCGCCCCCAGACAGTGACGCATTTCTCCAGAGAACTTGACACCAGAGCAAGTTTTTCCTCTTCTTTACCTTTCCTCCTCTTTTATGACCCCTCTCCCCTGTGTGTGTGTGTGTGAAATATCTGTTGTTATTATCTGCTTTCAGTGTTGGAACACTTCAAAATTTGGAGTTACGGGGCTAATGAGGTAGCTCAGCAGGTGAAGACATTTGTCTCCAAGCCTAAATCCCTGCGTTTGAGCCCCACAGGGTGGAAAGACCGGTTATTTTGTTTTGTTTGCTTGCTTTTGTCGGCGTCGCACTTTGTCACCCCGGCTGGCCTGGAACTGTTTATACTAGTACAAGCCGGCTTTGAACTCACAGAGATCCGATACCTTCTTTCTCCGCTGGTGAAATGCGCCAATTCAAGCCAGATTAAAATAGATAAACACAGGTTTGTTTATTAGGTAGCTGCTCTCGGGCAGGTGAGTTCACTGTACCCAAGGAAGGAGGCAAGGGAAGTCGCCATAGGAACGGGGGTGGGTGGAGAAAGAGGGGGAAGGAAGGGGAGGGCGGGAGAAACTAAACCGTGTGGGTGTATAGCAAGGAACCTCTCAGGGTAGGGCTGCCACGCTCCCGGAGCTGGAAAGCTGGGAGCACCGGGAGGCCAGGTCTGTTTTGGTATGTAAAATATGCACCCTTGCCCTTTGTCTCAGGGTCTGTAACCAAACAAATGTTCTTTGAACCTTAGGATTAAAAAGTGTGTGTGAGAGCACACCTGACTTTCGTTTTTGATTAGCCTCAAATTCACGCTCCTCTTCCCTCTCTGCATTCCTGTCCTGTATGTTAGTATTCTGTCTAAACTCCTCCCCACAGTTACCTGGCAACAGCCAGGCATCCCTTCCCCCTCTCTCCACGTGGTCATGGCTCTCTCTCTCCTCTCCTCTCTCTCTCTCTCTCTCTC